CCCCAAAACCCCAAAACCCCAAAACCCCAAAACCCCAAAAGTTATTTACTACAAACACAATTAAAAGACTTATATAAAAATGTCCGAACTTGAACCAATCACTCCTGTGGAGCTAGTTAACAAGTATTCTAACGTTAGTGTCAGCTGAGGAGGAAGCCTCCTCATTGGGCCTAAGGCTGGGAGATATGCTAACTATTTCACCATATTTGCGATGTGGGGCATGGGTCTGGGATTTATCATGTATATTGGCTTCATGCTTCCAAGAGGATACTACTTCGAGTGCTTTGTTTCTGTCCTGATCTACTTCTTAGTAGTCTATCACTGCTTAAGTTGTATGTTCAAGGATCCAGGAATAATCCCTCGGCCTCCAGATTACATTAAAAAGAAAGCAGAATGGGAAGTAGAAGCCAAGAAGAAAAGAGAAGAAGCCAATGAGCGAAGAATTGAAGAAGCCAAGAAAAGAGCCAAGGAGTATGATCCAGAAGACACCCCTATACCAATGAACGAAACTATTTCAACAGATCCAGGTAAGAGACTCTCTATGTGTTCTTGACAAATTTTAGGCAATCCTGAACCTATTGAGTTGCAAAAGCTTCCAAGAGAGGAAATAATGACTAAGACTTCAAAGCCTGATGAAGAATCTAAGACCCCTCAAAATGCAAAGATTGAAGATATCAACGCTAATTGAAAAGAAGGATGCTGAGATACCCTGCACATAGAGACCAAGAGATATTGAAACACATGTCAGGTAGAGCGCCCTCCATTTGCATCCCACTGCAATACCTGCAACCAGTGTGTTGCCAACTTCGACCATCATTGAGGGGTTCTAAATTGCTGTGTAGGAGGTAGAAACCTTCACCACTTCATCTTAGTTCAGTTCTATGCTGGTGTTGGGGCATTCTTCGCTCTCTATGCAATCCCGATGTACTACTACGAAGTCTACAAAGAGCTCGATGGAGAAAACCAGCAATATATGCATGACAATTGGTACAAAATAATAGGATGGTATCTCTGAGGGCTAATAGCCTCAATCCTCACCCTCTTTGGAGCAATGTGCTGCAGTTGCATTGGCCTTCTAGGCTATGCAATGTCTGCATGGACCCTCATCGAGGCGATGATGGGCCAGAACACCTTGCTGATGAACCCTCTGCCACTCCTGTGCTCCTTTGGGTTGCCCATATTCTTCGGTACATTCTTCATGTCTCTCTTCTACTTCTTCTTGATCATGAATGGGAGCAACAAAAAGATAGAAGGTAAGCACCATACTAACCTCTTTGACATTGACTTTAGCATCCAAGAGGAAGTTCCAGAAGGAGCACAAGAAGAAGTACACCAGGAGGGAGGAGGGAGTCTCCTCCAAACTCAAGAGGTTGTTCCTCTTCCTCTACTGCAACGAGGTTCCCAAAAGCATGCTATATTAAAAGGAATAATGAAGATTGGGGTTTATAGCAGGATTTGGCTAAATCCTAACAAAAACTATTTTCAATCCTATCGAAAGGAGGAGGGGTTTTGGGGTTTTGGGGTTTTGGGGTTTTGGGG